TCGCGGCTGGCCACACCGCCGGCAAGCCCACCGGCCGCGCCTCTTCTTTTTCTTCTTCTCCTAATTTTTCTTTTTCTTCTTCTTTTTCTTCTTCTTCTCCTAACTTTTTTTCTTTTTCTTCCATTTCCTCTTCTTCTTCTTCTTCTCCTTCTTCCGATTTTTATTTTATTTATTTATTTTTTCTTCCACTTCTTCTTCTTCTTCCTCTTCTTCTTTTTCTTCTTTCTTCTTCCTCTTCTTTTTCTTTTTTTTCTTGGACAACCCGCCAACCTCACCGAATTTCATTCACCCCACCGGCCTTCACCTTGCCGGTGTTGTGTTTTCGCCGGAGTAAAACGGCGAAGAAAGACATCAATTTTTTTGGGGCTCTCTCCTGCGTCTCATCTGCTTTCAGCATTCACCGTCGATAAATTAGCATTCGTCACCTCGCCGGACACCGAGCGTTGCCACTGTTCGAGGAGGCACGTGCGTCTTTTACCTTGTGGGTTCCACTCCTTCACCGTCGTCGAGCGATCCTCTCTAGCGAGGTACCTTTTTTGGTGTTGCATATTTTTATATGCTAAATTATTTATTTTTGGTACTTCGCATACCTCACTGATCCCTTCCTCTCTTGCTTTTGTTGACATTGTTTTTGTCTTGTGCGCGTTTTACGAGACACACTGGAGCATGAATTGGACGTCGGCGAGCTTGGCGCAAGCAAAGAGAACGCGTCTGCAACCGTCACGGTGGTGAGATTCTCTAACTCCTAGTTGACCATAGGTTTTAGCGGTGTCTAGGCGTGTGGGTTCGATCACCCACACAGGGTGTGTGCGCCGGCATCGGTCGGCACGACGACGTGCCTGGGTGATGGATCGTCGATTTTCTAGAGCTAGCATTTAGATTAGGACTTTTCTGTGCGTAACCAAATACTCCCCGTAGAGCCGAGTGTCCTTTTTTTTTGTGAGCCTTAGCACAAGTCCCGATGGGTCAGAGTCCCTCACTTCCATTGTTTTGGTTTTGCTCAGTTTTACTTGGAGAAGCTAAGTGGTCGAACTTGGCAAAGCGAGAGAAGCTTCGTAGTTGGCTCGCTTTGCAAAGTCCGGAGGAGTTCGCGAATTGGGAAAAGCTTTGTAGCTAGCACATTTCGCGACGTCGTGGAAAGTTTTTTCTTCGGAGATCTGGGGAGAAAATTCTCCACATTCCCACACCAAAGCTGAAGGCGGCGATGCCGCATATACAAGCATCTAAACCTTATGTTTCCTAGGTTAGGTCGTTAGTACGAGCGTGACTCGCTATCATATGTGGTCATATGCACCTCGTTGTTTGCATGTACATATCTTGCATCTTACATATTGAATGTCATATATCACACTTGTATCTGCACTCTGCACCTTGCATTTGCACTTGTACCTTGCACCTTACATTTATACGTTGCACTTGCACCTTGTATCTTGCACCACTTGTATCTTGCACCACTCGGTCGAACAGGATGAAAAATCCGATCAATCCAAAGTGTTGTACCAACCGGGCCCGGGTAACCGGCTGAAGCATAAGTGATGTGACCGGTTCGAAATAACCGACCGAGCCAAAAGTGGTGTTGACCAGTCGGTCCGGGGCGACCGATCGAGGCACAAGTGGTGCAAGTGCAAGTGCAACGTGGCGCAACGTAGGAGCAAGTGCAAATGCAAGGTGCAGAGTGCAGGTACAAGTGCGATATATGACATACAATATGTAAGATGCAAGATATGTACATACAAACAATGAGGTGCATATGACCACATACAGATTATGATAGCGAGCCACACTCGTACTAACGATCTCACCAAGGAAACCTAAGGTTTAGATCCTTGTATATGCGGCATCGCCGCCTCCAGCTTTGGTGTGGGAATGTGTGGAGTTTTTTCTCCGTTTCTCCCCGATCTCTGAAGGGAAAACTCTTCACGGCGTCGCGAAATGTGCTAGCTACAAAGCTTTTCCCATTTTGCGAACTCTTCCAGACTTTGCAAAGCGAGCCCGCTACGAAGCTTCTCTCGCTTTGTCAAGTCCGACCGCCTAACTTCTTCAAGTAAAGCTGGGAAAAACCAAAGCAATGGAAGTGAGGGACTCCGACTCATCGGGATTTGTGCTAAGACTCACAAAAAAAGGGAGACACTCGGCTCTATGGGGGGTGTTTGGTTACGCACAGAAAAGTCCTAACCTAAAGGCTAGCTCTAGGAAATCGACGATCCATCACGCAGGCACGTCGTCGTGCCGACCCATGCCGGCGCACGCACCCCTTGTGGGCGATCGAACCCACATGCCTAGACACCGCTAAAACCTAGGATCAACTAGGAGTTAGAGAATTTCACCACCGTGACGGTTGTAGAGACGTTCTTTTTGCTTGCGCCAAGCTCGCCGACGTTCGATCCATACTCCAGTGTGCCTCGTAAAACACACACAGAACAAAAACAGTACCAACAAAGGCAAGAGAGGAAGAGATCAGTGAGGTATGCGAAGTACAAAAAATAAATAATTTAACATATAAAAATATGCAACACCAAAAAAGGTACCTTCGCGAGAGAGGATCGCTCGACGACGGTGAAAGAGGGGAACCCACAAGGTAAAAGACGCACGCGCCTCCTCGAACAGTGACAATGCTCGCTGTCCGACGAGGTGACAGATGTTAATTTATTGGCGGTGAATGCTGAAAGCGGATGAGGCGCATGATAAAGCCCCAAAAAATTGATGTATTTCTTCGCCGTTTTACTCTGGCGAAAACACAACACCGGCAAGATGAAAGCTGGTGGGGTGAATGAAATCCGGTGAGGTTGACAGATTTTCCAAGAAAAAGAAGAAAAGAAGAGGAAGAAGAAAGAGAAGAAAAAGAAGAAAAAGAGACGAAAAAGAAGAACAGGAAGAAGAAGAAGAAGAAATGAAAGAAAAAATAAATAAATAAAATAAAATAAAATAAAAATTGGAAGAAGGAGAAGAAGAAGAAAAAGAAGAAATAGAAGAAAAAGAAGAAAAGTTAGGAGAAGAAAAAGAAAAGTTAGGAGAAGAAAAAGAAAAATTAGGAGAAGAAGAAGAAAAAGAGGCGCGACCGGTGGGCTTGCCGACGGTGTCGTCGGCCGAGAGGGGGGGAGTTTCTGGCCGAAGGGAGCGATGGCGAGAGCGGGCGGCGGCTAGGGATCGCGAATGGGGGAGGCAGTTTCGCGATATAGAGGGAGAGAGGGTGCGTCTTTTTTATTTTTTATATAATATATATATATTAATTAATATAATATATTTTTTATATAATTTTTTATATAATATATAATTATTATATTAGTATAACTATCGTTCGCATATTCTTCACATGTATACATCCTCGCGGCGAAGTGAATGTCCTTCTTGGCTAAAATCGACGTTCCGAACGCATTGAAGCAGTCCGTTTCTTCATTCGGGGTCGTTTGGGTCGCTTTTTCGACGATTGTGCTCAAAACGATAATTCTCACATTTTTACCCCGTCCGCGAAACCGTAGCGAAGTGAACATCCCCCGTAAGTGAAATCGACATTCCAGACGCGCTCGCGTGGTCTGTTTCGTCGTTCGGAGTCAGTCGTGGTCATCTAGACCACTTTTTTCGTTGATCGAGAAAAAATGATAATCTGCATATTTTAAGTCTGCACGCGAAATTGTGGTGCAACGAGCGCCTTTCCTAAGTGGAATTGACATTACGAACTCACTCGCGTGGTCCGTTTCGTTGTTCGGAGCAATCTGATCAAGCTCGCTGATGCTCAGGTCAATTTGAGCCAAATTCGTGCATGACGCGCGGTAACTAATTTTCGTCGATCACAGGTAGACACTCTACACCTATGATATCCAAAAATTGATGCCAACAAAGGACCCCTAACAAGCGTGCAGCG